AGAGTAGCAAAGATTTATAAAAACTAATGTAAATAAATTATACTGGCAAAGGAGTGCAAAAATAGGCACTTTCTTATTTTTGCTGAAGTATAAATTGAAAGGCAATTTTTACAATACCTGTTAAGATTTAAAATGCAAATATCCTATGACTGAGCAAGTCTACTTCTAGTAATTCAAACTATAAATTAACAGTGTAATGTACACAAAGACAATGTACAGGAATATTCACTAAGTATCGTTTGCAATGGCAAAAAAATGAATTAGAAACAACCTAAATATCCATAAAGAGATTGATTAAATAAATTATGGTTTATCCATAAGTAGGACACCATACAGCTCTTTCAAAAGAACAAGTCTGACATTTTCTATAATAGTAATAATAATGAGATCTATATGTGATGATATAGAACAGTTTCCAAAATACTTTTAAGTGGGAAATGCAAGGTGAGTGCTGTACCCCACTATCTGCATAAAAAGAAGTAAGGAGGCATTCACACACAACTATGCAAATAATAGTTCTGTTTTTTTTTTTTTTTTTTTTTGAGACAGAGTCTCGCCTGTCATCCAGGCTAGAGCGCAATGCTGCGATCTCAGCTCACTGCAACCTGAGTCCTGGGTTCAAGTGATTCTTGAGCCTCAGTCTCCCAAGTCGCTGGGATTACAGGTGTCCACTACCACGCCCAGCTAATTTTTGTATTTTTAGTAGAGACGGGGTTTCACCATGCTGGCCAGGCTGGTCTCGAACTCCTGACTTCAGGTGATCTGCCCGCCTCAGCCTCCCACAGTGCTAGGATTACAGGCGTGAGCCACCATGCCCAGCTATACAAAGAATACTTCTAAAAGAGGTTCAAAAAACTAGTAATAAAGGTATCCTTTGAGAGCAGAATCAAGGGTTCTCTGAAGGGTCAAGCAGAGGGAGATTTACAATGTATACTCTTTATGTAAAAATATTTGAGTTCAAAACAACATTGAATTAACATATATATGTGTGTGTATATATATATAGACTGTAGGCCACTCATCCTATAATATAGGAAAATAGCATTCTTCAGTGGGATTGGAATAGGAATTCAGAACACTAACTTTGAGCCCTGGCTCTGGTACTAACTAGCTTTGTGACTAGGAGCAAGTGAGTTAACTGTGCCTCAGTTTTATCACCTGTAAAATACAGAATGAAGGGATTTATTAAATAATCATAAAACACTATTTCTTAAGAAAAAATATATTTAGAACTCCCTTGGTCTTCTCATTTGTTTTCAACAGGAACTTGAGGCTTGCCTTCAATACGGCAATTAGATTCCTATGATCACTATATAGTAACTGATTATCAGGTAAGAGATAGTAGAAAATATTAGAAGAGACAAGTACTGAATGGCTGATTCCAACCTCAAAATGATGAACTTACTAAGTCTTAGCTATGTCTATTGCTCAGTGGATTCTGGCAAAGGGCATCAATTTTTTTCAGACATGAACAACTTGCCATGTATGGTCAATATATCAGAAGACACTTGCCCAGTTTAATGCCATCCATGTTTCCTCTTGGGAACCTCATTTTGTAGGCAGCCCAGGCCTACCAAAATGGAAAATTAGCATCTATCAGGGGAAATGGCTCTTTCCAGGGAATTGTTATGGTAGGTGGTAATGATGTGGATCAGGACAGGATGCGAAAGCAGTAGCATCAGAACCACACTACCACACAATCATGAGTTTAAAAGTTTGGTATTTAGGCTGGTATGGGAAATATGGAAATCAGTATTTGGAGTAAAAGAGGGGGAAGAAATGGAAATTAGGTGTACTAGAGATCAGAATCAGACTGTTAAAACAATAGTCAGGAATACGAAACATCAGTTAGGGACCATAGAGTAAATATCACAGTTTATTCATGAGTTGGGATGAGGTTGGGGCAGAGAGGCCCATCACAAGCAGAAAAGTAAGTTACTTTTCTCCAGATGAAAAGGGTTGAAGCCTAGCACTTAGCATACTGAGATGGCACATATACAGGTAACTCAAATATTTATTAGATGAAATTTAAGACCTGCTTAAGTTAGCTACCATATTAATTCTCTACCGAGTTCAAAAGTATTTCTGAGCCCAAACATACATCTAAGTAATTTTTTTTTTTCTTTGAGACCGAGTCTCGCTCTCTCGCCCAGGTTGGAGTGCAATGGCGCGATCTCAGCTCACTGCAAGCTCTGCCTCCCGGGTTCACACCATTCTCCTGCCTCAGTCTCCAGAGTAGCTGGGACTACAGGCGCCCGCCACCACGCCCGGCTAATTTTTTGTATTTTTAGTAGAGACGGGTTTCACCGTGTTAACCAGGATGGTCTCAATCTCCTGACTTCGTGATCCGCCCACCTCAGCCTCCCTAAGTGCTGGGATTACAGGCCTGAGCCACTGCGCCCGGTCACATCTAAGTATTAATATGAACTTTTTCTACCTCAAATGTTTTCCACACTAATATTAAACTTTTGAGCTAGAAACAAGTTTCAAAACCATGTTGGGGAGTCAGGAAGAGGGCCGAAGGAAGAAAGGAGGAAAGAGAGGAAATTAAGAATGCTAAGGGCGGTTTGGCATAGTGGCTCATGCCTGTAATCCTAGCACTTTGGGAAGCCTAGGTGGAAGGATCTTTTTTTTTTTTTTTTTTTTTAACGGGTTCGCTCTGGCATGAGGCAGTGGCCGATCCCACTGCAGTCCGCTGGTAGCATTCCTGCCTCAGTCCGGTAGCGGACTACGGCGCCAACCGCCCCTAATTTTGTTTAGTAGAGACTAGTTCTCGATCTACCTTGGATCCCCGCTCGCTCCAAGTGGATTACAGGCGTGCACGCGCTGGGAAGGATCTTGAACCCAGCAGTTCGGCACTAGCCTGAGCAACATGGGGAGACCCCATTTCTACAGAAAATAAGCCAGAGATGGTGATCCATGCCTGTAGTCCTAGTTACTTGGGAGGCTGAGGTGGGAGAATCACCTGAGCCTAGGAAGTGGAGGCTTCAGTGAGCAGTGATGGCACCACTACACACCAGTCTGGGTGACAGAGTGAGACCCTGTCTCAGAAAAAAATAAAATAAAAAAAAGATGCTAAGGGCACACTGAATGAAGGCAGAGGATGTAGTGCAGTTATACAGTATCATCATTTTTGAAGAATGTCTATTTTTAAAATTTTAATTAATTTTTTTTTTTTGAAACGGAGTCTCTGTCACCAGGCTGGAGTGCAGTGGTGCGATCTTGGCTCACTGCAATCTTTGCCTCCCAGGTTCAAGCAATTCCTCTGCCTCAGCCTCCTCAGCCTCCCGAGTAGATGGGACTATAGGCACACTCCACCATGCCTACTAATTTTTTGTATTTTAGTAGAGACGGGATTTCACCATGTTGGCCAGGATGGTCTCAATCTCCTGACCTTGTGATCTGCCCGCCTCCGCCTCCCAAAGTGCTGGGATTACAGGTGTGAGCCACTGCGCCCGGCCAATACAATTTTTTTGAGTCAGGGTATTGCTCTGCCACCCAGGCTGGAATGCAATGGCCTGCTCATGGCTCATTGTTAACCTCAAACTCCTAGGCAAGTGATCCTCCTGCCTCACTCAGCCTCCCAAGTAGCTAGGACTACAGGTGCATACTACAATGCCTGGCTAACTTTTTCTTTTTTTTCTGTAGAAACAGGGTGTCATTATGTTGCCCAGGCTGGTCTTGAACTCCTGGACTCAAGCAACCCCCATGACTTGGCCTCTCAAAGTGCTTGATTACAGGTGTGAGCCTACAGCCATTGTTTCTAAGATTTACTCCTGTGATTAGTCTCTACTGTTTTTTCCACACACCTAAGGGTTTACAACTGGCAGGGCAGATTATCAAAGCTTTCATGCTCTTAAATTGGCCTATATCCTCTTTCTAGGAAACTAATTACCACACTGTTTTTAATATAATGCATTTTCGGGTTTTCTCTGTCATTTAAGAGACATGTGGGTATACAGAGAGAACTTCTATTATGGGTTGAGCTCTGGACAATACTTGGCACAGAATAGATACTAAAGGAACACTGGCTGATAAAGAGAGTATAACCTAACTGTACATTGTAGGGATTAGACTGCCACCACCCTAAACCAGAGTTAATCTCTGCATCACTAATGGTGGGACACCCAGATATGCTGTGACTCCTAATATGATGCAATATAATATACACATTACATAGGATTAATTCTAGCCATAAATATTTAACTTATATTCATCTAACTGAAGCTCATAGAACCAACTTCCAGTTTCCAGGAAACACAGCTAAATGATGCCATAAGGAAGCAATGAGACTGATCCAAAAGGTAGAATATTTTTCTGGACAACTTCCCCATTGACAAGTTAGAATCATGAAAAAGAAACTGTTTTGAAGTAAAAGAGATTTCATAGAGATAACCTGATGTAGTGAGTAATCGCAGTTCGGATCCAGGTTTATTAAAGAACAGTTTGGAAGACTGGGGGAGTCTGAATACAGGTTGCGTATTAGATAATATGAATTATTATTATTAACTTTAAATGTGCTAATGTTATTTTGCCTGTTATTTTAAAAAGATGCATAGTCAAGTAAAAAATATATAAAAATTTAAAAAGAAATATATACATACAATAAAAAATAAATAAGATATATAAAATTTGAAAAAGAAATATGAATGAATGAATGAAAGAGAAAAGTCTGGGCTGGTTTGGTAGTCAACAGCATGCATGGTAATTAAAACCATGAAAATAGATGAGATAAGGTCACCTAGGCAAGTACATAAGGGAAGACAAAGAGATGTGAATCAGGCAGATAATATTTCAGGCTAGATGTAGGAGTAAGAACCATTAAATTGAAAAAGAGCAACTGGAGACATAGGAGGACCATGAGGAGAATGGCATTCCAGAAGCCAGTGGAGATATTTCAAGATGGATAAGGCAATTAATAATATCAGATTCGAAAGAGCTCAAGCTGGATAAAGACTGAAGAGAGGCTAGCAAATAACAAACAGAAGGTCAGTGATGACCTGATTGAGAGGAGTTTCAGTAGAGTGACTGGAGCAGAAGTCAGAGGAATGAACTGCTGTTGAAGAAGTGGATTCATCACTCCTCTTTCAAAGAAGTTTGGAGTTTCTCAGAAAGATGAGAACCTGTACAAATAATACACATTGTTCAGATAATGAAATTCCTAGTGATTAATGCTAACATGTTGTGGGAATCAGGAGACCAGAGAGATCACTGGGTGAAACAGGAGTATTTTATTTAGGTGGCCACCAACTCAGCAGATGAACAGCCAAAGTCCAGCTGGAGCTATAATAACATTATCCGCAAAGCCCCCCAAAAATGGGTTCCAAAAGCAAGTATGAGAAAAACAAGTTCTTTCAGTGTCCCCCTAAAATTCTCTCCCCATCCCATCATTCTTTGTTCTGCTCTCATAACTAGTTTTGTAACTATTTTTGCGAGTTTGCAAAGGTTTTATAACTTCCTGTTTTTCTCTCTGTAACATGGCAAAGTCACAAAACATGCCTAAATTGCAAAAATCTGTCACAGTATAATTAACTGCCTTTCTTTTGCTTCTGCAAGCCTGGTTTCCCTGCCCTGCAAATTTCGCACCACTGGCTAGCCACCCCACTTCAGTAGCATAAATAAAAGTCAAGCCCTGTCTTTGTTCATTGCTCAGCCTTTAGATGTTCATCTGCTAAGCTGGTGGCCACCTATATAAAATCCTCCTGTTTCACCCAGTGGTCTCTCCAGTCTCCTAATTCCCACAGCAAACATGCAGTAACAGGTAAGTGAAAGAAGGGACAGAAGGTGATAACAGAGTTATAAAATAAAGGATTCCTCATGTAATGCCCACATAAAATAAATATCTGCTATCGTATTTTTAAGAGTCTGCAAATTCAATAGAACTATAGTTTGGTTTTTATACTTGTCTCTTAAAGAAAGGTGATACTGCAATTTATAAGTAGATGTTTCACTGTGGAAATAGATTTGTTCCCTTAAAAACTGAATATAAAATACATTTTTGGAAATCAAATAATTAAGTAAATTAGGAAAAGTATTTCTTTAAAGGAGTGATGGGACTGTTAGGCTGCAATCTGATTGCATTCAAATCATGTCTTTATAAATATTAGTAATAAATGTCTTATTTTGATTTTACAACATATAACCCTTGGTTCCTACTCTAATCCTATGAGATATGCAGGCTGAGTATTATTAGCCCCATCTGACCTCAGACCATTCTGTCTGCTACAGGGCTATTTGTCTTGGAAAAAGGAGTGATTTTCCCTTTAGATGGATACTCTGTGTTCATACAAGTTCTCAAAGAGCTAATAGTCACATAGCTCTGAAGCTGTTTAGTTTTCTTTATTGATACATTATTCAAACTAGTATAAATTTTAAAAACAAGCTATCTCACAATATGCTGAACTGTAACATTCCAAAACAATGATAGTCAAAATTTAAGGTCAAAATGTGGTTTATGAGCTACGCTATAGTAAATTTACAGACAAAATGGAGATGGCTTAATAATAAACCAATAATAAACTAATAAAAATACTAGTTTCACAACAATGTAAATATACTTAACATTACTGAAATGTATAATTAAAAATGATTAAAACAGTAAAGTTTATGTTATATGTTTTTTACCACAATTAAAAAAAAACCAACACCAACATTAGCTTTGTTAGAAAAATATTAAAAGGATTAAAAGGATAGTTTACTGTTAATATTTCTCACAATTGCTTATTCACAATAAATATTCTTTCCACTATTAAGGCATGGAGATTATTTTTCTATAGTTCTGAATTAAAATCTATAGGTATTTTATAGAAATAACATTGGAAGAAGATACAAATATGCTACAATATTTAACTGCATTCTACCCCCTAAGCATACATTTTCTAAATTCTCTATAATGATGACATAATTTTCACATTCAGAAAAAAGATTTTTTAAAATTGAGATTGATATTAAATGTAGTAACTGTGGCAATTAAATAAGATTTTAGGCCTGGATTTTACATCTCAGAATTCATTCAATGTATACCAGCTTATTTACTTCACCTCTGTATTTCATGCTTCTATGTTAGGACAAAGGCCAGTCTGTGGATGTGCAAACATTTTTTTTTTCTTTTTTTTGAGACAGGGTCTTATTCTGTTGCTCAGGCTGGAGAGCAGTAAGAGCATGACTCACAGCATCCTCAAACTCCTGGGCTCAAAAAATCCTCCCACCTCAATCTTCTGAGTAACTGGGACTACAGGGCTGTGCCACCATGCCTGGCTAATTATTTTTAGTAGCGATGAGGTCTCGCTATGTTGCCCAGGCTGGTCTCGGAACTCCTGAGCTCAAGCGCTCCTCCACCTCGGCCTCCCAAAGTACTGGGATTATAGGCATGAGCCCCTGTGCCCAGGAGTAAATTTTTTTTTTTTTTTTATAAGTAGAGGCAGTCCAAGAGAGCCTACTAAAGTCTTAGCTACCCTGTATCCAAAGACTCTTTGGAAAGAAAAGTGGAATGGTTTGGGGCCCTACAAAGGTTACGAGAAATTAGTAGAAATATGTTGAGATACGCACAGTTGCAAAGACCCTTTGCTACACTGCTTGATAGCACAGAACAACAATAACAAAAAATGCCACTGTTGAATCTAGAATTCACTAGGAGAGACATTCTAGTGACTTATACAATCCAAAATAAATCTAAAATTATATACAGCCACAGGTAAACAGTGCATATAAATGACGACACTGAGATTGCATTCAGGAGGTTTAAAGACATTTTTAAAACTTTTGTTAACTATATTCGAAAACAGTCTTCTCACCTGCGTGGCCTAGTCCTTGGGGACATCATTTCATTCCCAAGTATGTGGTACCGCCGTGCTTCATGCAACAACTGATAACACTCAGGAGAATTCTGGATCAATTGGTCCACTTCAACTGTTTGAACAAAGTAGTTGGGATGCAACAGAGGGAGTCTCACATGTGTCAGGAGCTCATGTAACAGTGGTCTTCTCAGATCAACGGCACGATAGACCCAACGCATGACGGCTTCAAAAACCATCTCCTCTTTACCAATAACAAGTTCATCGCTACAAATATAATCAATAAGTTCATCTTTGTCAAGCTCAAGAAATTCTTCATGCTGGGATACATCCTCAAAAGTCTGTAATGCAAAATTTTTGCACTTTGTGAAGAGTGTTTTGAGTGAATGGGTATCAGCAAAGCGCTGGATTCCTAAGCAATTACAAGGATCAAGTTGCTCCTCCAAGAACTTGGCACATGCATCACGGAGAACACTAATCTGAAAGAGGCTTGATGTCTCAAAGAGATATTGTACATTCTCTGTAGTGATCTTCACCTTTCCAGTATAAACATACTGCAAAAAACATTCCATAGCTTCAGCTAAAATACCATTGATCTCAACCAACATTTCTCGGCTTTCCCTGTGGTCATTACAAAACATAGCTCTGAAGTAGCTACTACAGGCTGAGAGCACAGCTCTATGGCAAGGAAATTCTTTTCCTTCCACACAAATGATAACATCTGTGAATAAGCGGCTATCTCGAAATTCATTAAATATCTGGAGTATGTTTTCAGCATGGGATGATCCTGAAGAGAAGTCAAAAAACTCATGACCTGTCAGAGATTTGGGGTCCATTTCAAAAACTTTACGCTTAGTTGCTGGGGAATCACGCACCCCAAGATCCTCTCTGTTTAGTCTGCGTCCCAATATTAGTACCATTGTTACATCAGTTGACTATATAATTGTTGAGAAATGACTGTTAGGGATCTTCTTTATGTGGCTAAAAGTAAAAAAAGGAAAACATTTCAATATGCAAAAAATTCAGTATTCAAATTACATAATTTCATTTTAATATAAACACTACAACAAAATCACATAATTAATATATTTCATGTAGGGTACACAGCACTATCTCATGTTAATAAAAACTGATAAACAAAAATTTGCATTTGGACAATTAGAACATTAGGGGTAATTTGCAGTAATACTCCTTAAGCTCCCCTTTCTAGCTGAAAGGATACTATGTACTTTGTGAGTTACTAATCTTCCATTTCCTCCCCATTTACAGAGCTGAGTTTCATACTATTGACTGTAGAGTTAAGTCAGAATGGTGTAAGACAGAATTTGACTACAGTTAGAATTCTAACATAGTTATCTTTCTTTTTAAAAATCTTCTTTATTTTGAGACAGGGTCTCACTCTGTCACCAAGTTTGGAGTAAAGTGACATGATCATAGCTCACTGTAACCTCAAACTCCTAGGCTCAAGCGATCTTCCTGCCTCAACCTTCTGAGTAGCTGTGACGATGTGTGCGTACTACCATGCCTCGCTAATTTTTTAACTTTTTGTAGAGATGGGATCTTTCAGCCTCTCAAAGTATTGGGATGACAGGCATGAGCCACAATGCCTGGTGAAATAATTATTATCTTAATATAGAATTCCTAGAAAGGAATTTAGCTATATCTATTAATAGCCTTTAAAAATATGTATATTGTTTGACCAGCAAGTCCTTTTTTTTTTTTTTTTAAAGTACTCTCTCCTAAGGAAATAATCAGAATTATGTGGAAAGATTTATCTATACAGATGTCCAATGCTGTACTGATAGAAAATACTCAAAATAACCTAAATGCCCTGTAAGAGGGGATTGGTTAAACCACAGTACATCTTCTGGCTAGAACAAAGTCTATGCAGCCATTAAAAATTATATAGACTAACGACACGGGGAAGTAGTAACCACACAGTAAGTGAAAAAGTAGATCACAAAACATGCCAACAGAAAAAATAATGTATCTGTGAATCTAGGGATAGGATGTACATATGCCAAAATGTTTTATTTATCTTCTCTATTTTCCACCAAAATGTCTATTATAAAATGTAATATTCATTTAAAAAATGTTCATGCATGTTATCTAGGTCTTGTTCCCTTTCATTAATAAGAAACACCCCAAAAACCCCTCAGAAATGACTATCAGTAAGTAACTGATGGACTGAGGCACTTGGCTATAGCCATCAATTCTCTCTCTCTCTGTCTTTTTTTTGGAAACAGGGTCTCATTCTGTCACCCAGGCTGGAGTGCAATGGCGCGATCTTGACTCACTGCAATCTCCACCTCCTGGGTTCAAGCGATTCTCCTGCCTCAGCCTCCCGAGTAGCTGGGACTACAGGCACGTATCCACCACACCTGGCTAATTTTTGTATTTTTGGTAGAGAAGCAGTTTTGCCATGTTGCTCAGGCTGGTCTTGAACTCCTGGCCTCAAGGGATCTGCCCACCTTGGCCTCTCAAAGTGCTAGGATTATAGGCATGAGCCACGGTGCCCAGCCGAATTCTCTTTATTTTTTTATTTATTTATTTTTTTTGAGACGGAGTCTCGCTCTGTCACCCAGACTGGAGTGCAGTGGCGCGATCTCGGCTCACTGCAAGCTCCGCCTCCCGGGTTCACGCCATTCTCCTGCCTCAGCCTCCGGAGTAGCTGGGACTACAGGCGCCCGCCACCACGCCCGGCTAATTTCTTTTTGTATTTTTAGTAGAGACGGGGTTTCACCGTGTTAGCCAGGATGGTCTCGATCTCCTGACCTCGTGATCCGCCCGCCTCGGCCTCCCAAAGTGCTGGGATTACAGGCTTGAGCCACCGCGCCCGGCCCGAATTCTCTTTAATATTAATTTTAAGGAGATTCTTCTACACTCTTTCCACATCTTCAGAAGTTGATACATGATTCAAAGTGTATTAGTAATTGGTTTAAGACCAAAGAGTATCTCATCTATTACCATACTCTCAGAATTTCATATATCCCTTGTAACGTTCCCAACTTCTTGAAATATTTCAAGTCAGACATTCAGGCCTAAATATGGCAGCAAAAAGAAGGCAGCTAAAGGATGTCACAGATAATACAATCTAAAAAATGAGATGCCATCCTACATTCCCAAGCCACAAATAAAACTTGAGACTTGAAATTTAACAATATTAAGGCTGCATTTTGAGTACCCTGTCATATATTAAATTGTACCCCACTTTTTAAGTGACACAAAGGGAAATAAAATATGCAATATCAAAATCAAGAAGAACTCATTCTCTTATATATGGTATTCTCTTCTTTTTTATGTTCTTATTTATCTCCATCCTCACTTCTCACTGTAATGCCCCAGATATCCTACTTCCAATATTCACTAGATACTTGGAATTTTCATGAATTATCTCACTGAATTTACTTAATATTGCAGCTTTTACCATCATCATCATCAACAAATATTTATTATATGCCCACTATTGTCAAGATACTGTACTAGGCAAGGGTTTACAGAGATGTAAGATATTGTTATTGGAGTTTTTTGTTTTTGTTTGAGACAGGGTCTCCTCGTGTTGCCCAGGCTGGAGTACAGTGCCATGACCTCAGCTCACTGCAACCTCCGCCTTCCGGGTTCAAGCGATTCTCGTGCCTCAGCCTCCGGAGTAACTGGGATTACAGGCACATGCCACCATGCCTGGCTAATTTTTGTATTTTTTTAGTAGGGACAGGTTTTGCCATGTTGGCTAGGCTGGTCTCGAACTCCTGAGCTCGAGCAATTCTCCCGCCTTGGGCTCCGAAAGTGCTGGGATTACAGGCATGAGCGACTGCGCTCAGCCTGTTTTGTTTTGTTTTGTTTTGAGACGGAGTCTCACTCTGTTGCCAGGCTGAAGTACAGTGCTGCCATCTTGGCTCACTGCAACCTCCACCTCCCAGGCTCAAGTGATTCTCCTGCTTCAGCCTCCCAAGTAGCTGGGACTACAGGTGCGCGCCAGCACACCTGGATAATTGTTTGTATATTTAGTAGAGACGGGGTTTCACCATGTTGACCAGGATGGTATCAATCTCCTGACCTCGTGATCCATCCACCTCAGCCTCCCAAAGTGCTGGGATTACAGGCGTGATCCTTTTTATTTTTAATTTTTTTGAGCCGGAGTCTCGCTCTGTCCCCAGGCTGGAGTGCAACTCCAGTGCAAATCTCAGCTCACTGCAACTTCCACCTCCCAGGTTCAAGCGATTCTCCTGCCTTAGCCTCCTTAATAACTGGGTCTACAGGCATGCACTACCACGCCCAGCTAATTTTTGTATTCTTAGAGATGGGGTTTTACCATGTTGGGCAGGATGGTCTTGATATGACCTCGTGATCCACCTGCCTTGGCCTACCAAAGTGCTAGGATTACAGGCATGAGCCACCACGCCAGGCTTTTTTTTTTTTTTTTTTTTTAATAGAGTTGCAACAAAACATATTCAAACAAGATAAATAACAACATAAAGTAGCACAGACAATATGTCCCATCGGTACAGACAGCCTAGTTCCTCCTTAAACTTCTATTACATTTAAAAAACATCTCTTCCTATCAATTAGCACTTCAACTTCCTGAAGTCTAGGTGATAGGATTTTCTCTGGGCAGATATATGCTAGGTTATTCTGACCATTTGGGGAAAAATACATGGCTATAACAACATCTGAAGGACACCTAAATGATTGCATGCTACACAGGATCTTTTCTGTTTCTCTGTCTATCCCCCAATTGTGCAGGTAAAGTCAGAAAAAATCCAAGCAATTTTATCAGTCAAATGGAATAAGACTAAAGTGAAATAAATACTATTTTCATTTGAAATCACTAGGGTGGAGAGTCAGAGGCAGTATGTTGATATCTTTTTTTTGTTTGTTTCAGATGCAGTCTTGTTCTGTCGCCCAGGCGGGAGTGCAGTGGCACAATCTTGGCTCACTGCAAGCTCCACCTCCCACGTTCAAGCGATTTTCCTGCCTCAGCCTCCTGATTAGATGGGACTACAGGCACATGCCACCATGCCCATTTTTGTATTTTTGGAAGATTTTTGTATTTTTGGAAGAGACGGGTTTCACTATGTTGGCCAGGCTGGTCTTGAACTCCTGACCTCAAGTGATCCACCTGCCTTGGCCTCCCAAAGTGTTGGGATTACAGGCGTGAGCCACTACGCCTGGCCACCCTCATTTCTAAGTTTTAAAAAAATAAAAATAAAAAATAAATTTCAAATGTACAAACATACATGCATTTTCTAAATACATAACAAAGCTTTGTGATGTAATATAATATTTACGGCAATGGAAGTTCATGGAGAAGGCCTATTTAAATGAACACATATAAAAGTAAAGATAAACACAAGACAATGCTTACTAATGGCTGGTTTTGGAGTAAATGTCAACAAAGTAACTCCCACAAATTTAGTTAGTAAAATTAGTTTCTCTTAAATTTGAGGAAATATTTTCCTCTACATGTATGTTATGGTCCAAACAAGCTAGATTTTTAACTTCAATCCAATTATGTTTTGCAGATTTTAGGTAACAGACTTGCCTGAGAACAAATAAAAGCTCTATTTAATTAATTTTAATACCTAAATGAATAAAAATTTATGAGTTTAAAATATTTTGTTAGTTTTAAAATTTATTATCACTACTAAAAAAAGGGGATTTCTTACCATCTCTTTTAAGATTTTTCTGATTACTCAGAAAGTATTCATGTTTGCCTCATTACAGGTCATCCAACTTGCGTTATAGTTACCCATATATTTGTGTACATGTCTGGATGCATGTGCACACACACAGCTTAACATTTAAAACTCCTTTTATAATGCATAGAATGACTTCCAAATTCCAGGCTTTCACACATGAGCAGTAGCATATCTATCAAACATGCTTTTAATTTGAAGTTATCTCAATAACTGTTTTATAAACAGAAATGTATCCCCCTTATCAAGAGAGACCACTACTGTGCCTGAATGTCAATTTTTTGTTGTTGTTGAAACTTCAAAAAGTTCAATGTATGTAATATCACAAGTAATTCAAAAAGGGAACATTTCAACTATGATAAACATAAACTGTGATGACATGGAATATAACTCATATTTTAATCTTAATGCCTTATTAATCTAGACTCAAATTATGGTTGAATTAGCTACAAGTCAGGTACCCAAATCAAGAACCTATTATTCATTCCAGCTTATCTAGTTTAACTTCTTACTGCATTTCAGGTTCAAAAAATTCACACAAGCGATTGTGACTTTGACTAGAGATACAATTATTGGTATTAACAACAATGGAAATTGTGAGCTTCTTCCTGCATACATTTTCATTTTCTCAATGTTTAAATGAAAATTTGTTCATAATACAAAACAAAATAGCACATTGTAGGAACTAAGAATTTCCCTTTGGCTAGAATGGACAAGTAGGAAAACACATATAAAAGTATACTTTGTTTTCTGTATCCAATGATCTTACTCTAATTTTATTACATAAGTTTGGGAACAGTGTGTTAAGTATTAATATAAAATTGATTAAAATTTGTATCAATTAAGGGTCTGTCTTTTTATGCTATTTTCTGCCCCTTATTTTCATAGTTGGCTCCTTGATTTGTTCACTGACAAAAGAGGTCTTCCTCTCCACTACTTTTACCCAATAAAAAATGGAAAATCCTGGATTAGAACACCTATAAAATCACCTTGCATTACAAAGTCTTCAACAGCAATGAGATATTTGTTTACTGCTCTGTATGTAAAAGAGACTATCTCATAGATCTTTGCAAACAGCTTCAGCCTGCTGCCTCCTGACTTTCGGGCATCTTGACTTCCTCTGGACTTTCTGAGAACTCTCCCATGACTGGTCTCCATAATGACACCAAATGTAAACACTTCCTATGTATAAATGATTTGCATGAGGGCATCTTAGGAGTGTGAGATTCATTCAGAATGTATCTTTTGGGCTTCCAGATGTAATTTGCTAGTTTTTGCCTTCCCATTTTATACAATAAAGTAATACAAAGATTAGCTGGGCGTGGTGGTGGGCGCCTGTAGTCCCAGCTACTCAGGAGGCTGAGGTAGGAGAATCGCTTGAACCCGGGAGGCAGAGGTTGCAGTGAGCTGAGATCGCACCACCGCACTCCAGCCTGGAAACGGCGAGACTCCATCTCAAAAAAAACAGAACAAAAGGAAAGAAAATGTTATTCTATCTCAAAGTATGGTGTCTAATATAGGTTCAGGATTGATCAAAATGAACTCATAATGTATAATCAAGCAAACGAAACATAAGATTACAGATTGAGCCATTGTAGCATTTTTGCAAATATCACAGCAGAATTATTCCCATCAGGAAAAAGTAAATAACTAAGTAGGCATCTCTAAACAAAATTAGTAGGAAAAGTTTCTTTCCAAAGAAACACAATGACTGAAAGTTGTATCTACATGAGTTAATGGATATAAGTTGATCAGACAGGAATGAGGCTCTCAGGAAAGCACAGAAGAGTGGGTAAATATTTAGTAACAGAAATGATTGTCACACTGCCGTTTTTTGTGATCGTAAGCATAGAGTCGTGCCTTGTTACTCTGATTGGCTTAAGTGATCTCTGGTTAAAGAAAGGAAAATGGTTTAAATTCTCTAATGACAACGTTTAGATAGTTTATACATACTATAAATATACCTTTTTAGCATTTGGTTGATCAAAGCCCCAGTCAAAATATGTGTGTTGTTTTAATTTCCACACCTAAAATAAAGGAAGAATAGCAACATATAAATCTGATAGTTGTCAGTTCATGTACAGTTGTCATTATTTACTAATATGTTGAACAAAGTTTTTAGTAAATTCTAGTTTCTGACTGCAGTTCATTTTTGTATAAAAATAATTAGTGAATAACACCTCCTTAAAGCAAATTAATAATTTAATGCTATTTTACATAACTAGTTTTCTTATTTATCAACTTCCTTGACAGTTTTTTTGTTTGTTTGTTTTTTGAGACTGAGTTTCACTCTTATTGCCCAGGCTGGAGTGCAATGGCACGATCTTGGCTCACCACAACCTCTGCTTCCCAGGTTCAAGCGATTCTCCTGCCTCAACCTCCCGAGTAGCTGGGATTACAGGCATGTGCCACCATGCCCAGCTAATTTTATATTTTTAGCAGAGATAGGGTTTCTCCATGTTGGTCAGGCTGGTCTCGAACTCCTGACCTCAGGTGATCCACCTGCCTTGTCGTCTCAAAGTGCTGGGATTACAGGCATGCGCCACCGCACCCGGCACTTGACAGTTTTATCCTGGAGTGTTATCCTGCAGTAAAATTTCTTGAGTGAAAAATGAGTAAAAGAAAATTCATGTCAATAGCAAGCTAATGGTAGCACTGAAAAAACATGTACTCTGTGATAATTCTGCATTGGATATTTGAAGAGTGTCTGGAAATTGATGTTTCATCCAAGTTTGGGGCCATGAAATAATTCTAAGAGTTAGCAAATACTTATTTTTTAATGTTTTAATATATAAGTGTATATTTCCTCTGCCTTGAATCTTATAGAAACTTAATCCCCATATCCCATAGAAACCAACTAATTCAGCACAATTCCTTTTATTTATTTATTTATTTGGTGGAAAGGGATAAGAGGAATGCTTAAGAGAAAATACCAGAACCTTCAGCTGTGTACAGAATAGCAATAGTATTTAAACACAAGTGGTTCTGGTTTCTGGCCCAGATATCTTTAAATAGAACTTGTAAATTCTTAACAAGTTTAGACAAATTCAAAAGTTCATTCCAAAACCAAATATAAATGACCTTTTTTTAAAAACGTGTACACACAAACACATATGTATACCAGACTGTGTTATGATCATGAAGTGAATGCTATCCTGTGTTTCCTTACTTTCAGAAGTGAGCCTGACTTGTATGTACCCTTGGTAAAAAAATATTGCAGCTAGGGCAAATTTGGGAATTGTTACTCCCAGCTAAGTAAATCTTCCTTCCCAATGGACAATAAGATCCTGAATCAATGTAGGGATTCAGGTCAATTCAGGAAACATTTATAAAGAACCTAGTCTATGTCTGTCACTGCGTGGCAAATACTGGATTCAGATCCAATTTTGGACTCTGTGGGATTGGCTAAGAGTAGAGCCAAACAAGAACTCCAAGACTGGTACTAAAATAGATTCAAATTCTTAGCAGGTGCAGATTGGAATACAGCCTTTTATAACCAATCTGGTCTAGAATTATACCTCATGGGGTAGAAAGCATAAGGCAATTCACCTGGGCATTTTCTATGGATTTTTAGGTAATACCAACCTAATCGGTAAGGGTAAGGGATGGAAGAGAGAGGGTACAAAGTCTGAAGGAAATGTGTAATATCAGAATCAATCTACAGCGTGAGTTTGTACTCAAAACAAGCTTATGTTTCCTTTAGCATGCAGAAATTCTATACAAAGAGGTTACTAACAGCCTTAAAGATAGTATGGATTAATGAGGGGCTTCTAAAAACTAATACCAGAAAATGAAGGAACCAACAACATCCTGACTAGCGTAGCCCCTAAAACTTGTAGTAGTGAACTGCTGCATGCTATGTTCTACGCTACTCCATTTTCTCAAAGTTAACCTTGAAAGAACATCACAGGAGATGACAAGAAAGTTTAACCAAGAGGTTTATCTTGAAAGATATATAGTAACTCAAAAGAAGGAAAGCCAGAAAATAATTGCAATATAGTAAATCTTTTTTTTTTGTTTGTTTTTTGAGACGGTCTCACTCTGTTGCCAGGCTGGAATGCAGTGGCGCAATCTTGGCTCACTGCAACCTTTGCCTCCTGGGTTCAAGTGATTCTCCTGCCTCAGCCTCCCGCCTAGCTGGGACTACTGGTGCGTGCCACCACGTGTTTTTAGTAGAGACACGGTTTCACCATGTTGGCCAGGATGGCCTCAATCTTTTGACCTCGTGATCCACCTGCCTCGACCTCCCAAAGTGCTGGGATTACAGGCGTGAGCCACCGTGCCCAACCAGTACATCTTTTATTTTAAAAATAACCAGAAAATTATATATAGTAAGGTACTACACAAAACCAAGCAAATTTTTATACATTTCAGATATTTTCACCCTATAGTCTCAAAAGCTAATTTATTTGATTTTTTAATATCATAATTTTTTAAAAAATTATTTTGCACTATCAAAATTTCAGTTTAAAGAATTACTCTGCAGCAGTGGTTCCTGAACCATGTTTTACAAATGTAATGTTTAAAGCCCAGCCTTCAAGCTATTTTCAACATTTCCAGTTTCTTAATGGAACCACCAAGCCCATATTTACCCACCATGAGATAACAGAAACCGGCTGGGCGAGGTGGCTCATGCCTGCAGTCCTAGCACTTTGAGAGGCTGACGCAGGCGGATCACGAGGTCAAGGGTTCGAGACCAGCCTGGCCAACATAGTGAAACCCCGTCTCTACTAAAAATACGAAAAAATTAGCCGGGCTTGGTGGCGAGCACCTGTAATCCCAGCTACTCGGGAGGCTGAGGCACGAGAAACGCTTGAACCCGGGAGGCGGAGCTTGCAGTGAGCCGAGATGACGCCACTGCACTCCAGCCTGAGCAACAGAGACTCTGTCTCAAAAAAAAAAAAAAAAAAAAAAGAAAAGAAAAGGTAACTAGTTGGTAAGAAACCAACTAAAACCTTGAGTTTCTTTGGATAGAATGATAGCAACTAGGGATTATCCCATGTTTATTAGAACCTCAAATGCGCAATACACTGTATGACTTTGCTTGATGAGAAACAAAAGAGATAGCTGTTGATGACAAATTTAGGAAAGCTTAAACAACGTGTCAGACTAAGCAATATGGTTCTTTAACTAAAAAAGACTACTACTGTCTCTTAAATCACAGGAAAAAAAAACCCCGAATTTCTCCAGTGTTTCTCTCCCTCAACTTAAAACTTCTGGCTACTGATACTCTCCAACCCTAAAGGAAGAAAAAAATTTGCTAACCATCAGACATCACACCTGGTATACCAAGGTGCCGCATTGAGCCTACTCATGCTTCTGACTAGACTTGATGTGTAAATTTAATGTTGTTTGGTTTTATCTTGCTAACGTTTCTTTTAAGTATTTAATGCATTGTTTTATTCTATAATCAAAATACTTATAGATATATGATATGGTTATGTTTTCTGATAGCAAAATGGTTTTGGTTTTTTATTTATTTTTGAGATGGAGTCTCACTCTGTCACCCAGGCTGGCGTGCAGTGGCATAATCTTGGCTCACTGCAACCCCCACCTCCCGGGTTCAAGTGATTCTCCTGCCTCAGCCTCCCGAGTAGCTGGGATTACAGGAGTGTGCTACCACACCAGGATAATATTTTCTGTGTTTTCTCTTTTTTCTTTGTTTTTTTTTTTTTTTTTTTTTTAGTAGAGATGGGGTTTCACTACGTTGGCCAGGCTGGTCTTGAACTCCTGACCTCGTGATCCACCTGCCCCAGTCTCCGAAAGTGCTGGGATTACAAGCATGAGTCACCACGCCTGGCCTGGTTTTGGTTTTTTAATTAAAATTAAATCCGCAAGGATGCCAGCAAGGAGCTCTGCCACCTGAACAAATTTGAGATTTTTTTTTTTTTTGAGACAGAGTCTCGCTCTGTTGTCAAGCTGGAGTGCAGTGGCGCAATCTCGGCTCACTGCAAGCTCCGCCTCCCGGGTTCACACCATTCTCCTGCCTCAGCCTCCCGAGTAGCTGGGACTACAGGCGCCCGCCACCACACCCGGCTAATTTTTTGTATTTTTAGTAGAGACAGGGTTTCTCCGTGTTAACCAGGACAGTCTCCATCTCCTAACCTCGTGATCTGCCCGCCTCAGCCTCCTAAAGTGCTGGGATTACAGGCATGAGCCACCGTGCCCGGTCACAAATTTGAGATCTAATATTTTACATGACTTCTCTATGAATAAAAGCACATAGTCAGTAGTTTATATTTACCTTCGTGGTGACACTAATTGTTTACAGTGGTAGCATTTGGAAACCTCAGTTAAGAGTAAAGCCCACCTTTTTTTTTTTTTTTTTTTTTTGAGATAGAGTTTTGCTCCTGTTGCCCAGGCTGGAGTGCAATGGCACAATCTCAGCTCACTGCAACCTCTGCCTCCAGGGTTCAAAGGATTCTCCTGCCTCAGCCTCCCAAGTAGCTGGGATTACAGGCACCCGCTGCCACACCCAGCTAATTTTTGTATTTTTAGTAGAGACGGGGTTTCATCACGTTGGCCAGGCTGATCTTGAACTCCTAACCTCAGGTTATCCGCCTGCCTCAGCCTCTCAAAGTGCTGAGATTACAGGCGTGAGCCACTGAACCCAGCCAAAGCCCACTTTTAAAACATCAGTTTAGTAGTCTTTAAGATGTGTCAAATGTTGAAAAATTTTAACTCTGGGATGATGAATATAGGCAGAGTGCCAAACTCTTCAATTTAAAAAAGTTTGCTTAATTATTGTATTGTTTATTTTTTGAGACAGGGTCTCACTATGTTGCCCATTCTGTTCTCAAACTCCAGGGCTTAAGAGATTCTCCTGCCTCAGCCTCTGGAGTAGCTGGGATGACAAGCAAGCACTTAATGTGTTTTTAATAGGAGAAACAATAGCAATTTTTAAACGTCAACAGTTGTCAAGTGGCTATATACTCTCTAGTTGTTTCAGTCACACCAGAAGTAAATTATACAAAAATGCATTTTTCATATGTACACTTGTGAAGATATTTACTGACATTTTTCCATTATACAGTCCGTACCCAAATATTTATTGAAAAAAGTGTCCCAAATTTCTAGGTATGACAAAAGTTTAGACAAAAACAACTGTGGTCACTTATTTGATAAATAGTATTTATTTTTCACAGGCTTGACCTCTGGGTTTTAATGAAATGGGAGAAAAACAAGGAAGTTAAAAAAAGGTTACTGAAAAAGCATTAAGGTTCAACAACCTGGACGAAAGCCAGGAAAGTTTAGGTTAAAGCTGGTAGTCAACCCTAACTCAGAATATTATTTCTTCTTCCTGTTTAGAGACTTAAGTTGCTGGCTTTGTTTGAATAAGCAAGCCTTTACTGAGTGATGGTTTTACTTCTTCAAAAGTTTAGATGATTGCATTTTGTACTTACTTAGATACATTAAATATTCTCAATGCACAAGTGATGAGGCAGTTCTGATCACAGGAGCTGCTCATTCCGGTGTAACCATCTCCTCTGGAATTTTAAAGAATGCATAACCAATGGGAACTGTTCATATTCAATTCCTGCTTCATCCAGGGGAGCTCAAACTTCCTTCTACAAAAATGTATTAAGTCTCTGCCAGGCACGGTGGGTCACGCCTGCAATCCCAGCACTTTGGGAGGCTGAGGCGGGCAGATCACCTGAGGTCAGGAGTTCAAGACTAGCCTGGACAACATGGTGAAACCCCGTCCCTACTAAACATACAAAAACTAGCCGGGTGTGGTGGCGGGCGCCTGTAATCCCAGCTACTCGTGAAACTGAGGCAGGAGACTCGCTTGAACCTGGGAAGCGGAGATTGCGGTGAGCTGAGATGGCCTGAGTGACAGTGAGACCACTCCACTTCAGCCTGGGTGACAGAATGAGACCTTGTCTCAAAAACAAAACAAGTGTATTAAGTCTTGAGTGAATTCCTACATCTGCAGAAGAAAATCTGAGAAAACGCAAATACCCTATTAACTCAAGAGAATACAAAAACCATTTTCAACCCACTATGGCTAAAAATGATTGGTCTTAAAGATTTTATTACCGTCACCTTAATTTATAATTTTAAAATGACACAGTTGCAACCCACTTCTCAAACATTTTGAATTACCACGGGAATTAAAACATAGAAGTGTGTGACCTAGAATCCCTCAAACAAGGAAAACAACTCATCCAAGACAAGTATGGAAGAATCTTTACCTTTTAGGGGAGCATCTTTAAACTATCTTTTTTAAATAGAAGAAATCCGCTTTTAAATCTCAGCCAACAACAAGCAGATTTTAAATCTATTTTACAACCCTAATAAAAACCTCTTAGCTGGTGGACCCAGTCTGTAGCTGCAAATACAAAGACGTGATTTTTGAAAAGCTGCCCACAAGAGCAAGTGATTTAATCATTAAAATCCACTAAAATCAATTGTGAACAGCCACTGCCTCAGGGGCGACCGCGGGGCCCCCTAAGATGTGGCACTGTGATCTATATTTAGCTATCTAAACACGTTTACAGAACTGGCAACAACGAATTCGCAGGACTTCCTGAGCACCACCCCGGCAGATAACGCGACACTAGTTAAAGGGTGTTAATTTTCCGGTCCTCGGAGGGCGGGCCACGGTTGCCGACCGCTGCGTGCCCAGAACTGCCTGCAGGATCAGGCAGCAGCCGCGGCAGCCACGGAGGCTCCCAGCCACCCGCCGCAGGGGCGGGAGCGCGCGCCGCCCGCATCCGCGCCGCCAGGCTCCACTCGGCCGCAGCTGCAAGAGCAGCGAGAGCGCGCGCTCCCGCGCGTCCTACAGATCACCTTCAAGGGGGCGGGAAGAATGGCCCCGGACAGGCCCACCTAGTGACAATAAAAACTCGCCAATAAAAACTCGAACTCGCCCTCGGGTACCGCCCACAAGCCGCCGCAGGCGCCCAATCCCCGCCGCGTTAACAGTCTTCACCCGGGGTGTCCAGAACTTGGGGGCGGGTCCATTAGGAACTAAATTAAGAAACCAAGTCCTGGAGTGGTAAGAAGGTGGGGAGGTTAGGCGGGGACTGCGGCGGCTGAACGCCCGCTCCCCCGCCCGCCCTGGCTCCCCCGGGACGGCCGCAGCGAGCCCGGTGTCGCGATCGTGGTAAACAAAGGCTCGCAGGGGACGGGGGCGGGGGTAACGGTCAGGTGACAGTGCCGAGCGCATTTCGCAATCGCTTTAATGGGGCTTCGCTGGCCCGCTGCCCCGGGAACCCCACCTTGACCCCGTCATTCCTCCCGGACAGAACCGACGGTCGTCCCACCAAACGGGAAGGCTGGATTTGAGGCGGTCCCACTCCCCCGCGCTTCCTGAAATAAAAAGCAGCGCCCCGTTCGCAGCCCATCGGCAACAAGCAGCACCCCCGGCGGCGCCCGGCCCCGCGGCGACTAGGCGACCGCACCTGCGGCTACCCCCAGTCCCGGCGGCCACCCCCTCCCACCTCGCCCTTGCCAGGCCGCGCCAGCCGCGCCACGGTTCCGGGCCGTAGTGCCAGGAGGCGCGGGCGCCCTCCCTCAGGGCTGTAGCTACCGAGCGGGGAGGAAGAACCCCCAGGGAGACCTGGAGGCCCCTCGCCTCAGAAAGGGGCCCTGCAGACCAGCTGCAGCCTCTCCGCAGACCGCCAATCTGGCTCCGAGAGGCCGGCCGCCGCTGGCTGCCCTCCCGCAGACACCCCGGTGGTCAGGACCGCCGCCGCCCCTCCGCCCCTGAGGACTCAGACTCTGGCCGGTTCCTCGCCTTTCGGCCGGTCCCGGAGCTGTCACCCCCGGTACCTCTCGGCGAAGGCTGGAAGCAGCCAGCAGCGGCGAACCCCGCGGTTCCTCAGCCGCCGCCGGCGCAGCGCACTCTCCAGCGCCGGCGTCTTCTCCAGCCACCAGTCTCTGCCGCAGCTCACAACAAAGGAAACATGTGACCCTCCGGGCCAAAACACTGAGCGTCACCGACCCCTGGCCAATCCGGGTGGGCGTCCTCCGCCCCGGGGGACCCCGGGAGATGTAGTTCTCGCTTCCCGGTGGCCTCCGGGGCCACCCGGGGCTCCAGCTATGGGGTGGGTGTCGGGCGCCAGGAGGACTAGACCCACTCCAAGGGCTGCTGACTCAAAAACACTTTGTTTTAAGTAGAGATAGTTAAAAAAAATGCCTTTTGTGTAAGGAGCCGAGTGAGAAGCCGGAGTCGTTTGTTTCTTTCCCTCAAAGGCCCCTGCCACGTCCCAAGGAAAAAGCCCCGCGATCAGCCCTTCGACTTTAAAGCTTGGGTAGAAGCTTAGAGAGCTTTTTGTTTGACCCTTTGATAGACAATCGGAAATCCTCAGGCCTGAAGGGTGGACGAGACTAAAACCCTAGTCCCTAGAAGGAGCAAGGAAAACCACCTCTTTTTTTGATAAAGCTGTTACTGTCACTGGTATCAAATCCTAGGTTACCTTTTTATTTTAAACGCACATGCACGTCGACCAAAGCTGTCACAAATCCCTGTTTTCCAAGGTAGATGGAGTCCCTAAAGGGCATTATTTTGTCGTTTTGTGTCTGTAAGCTTTTTGTTTTGTTTTGAGACAGAATGGCGCGATCTCGGCTCACTGCAACGTCTGCCGGGTTCACGCCATTCTCCTTCCTTAGAGTAGCTGAGGCTACAGGCGCCCGCCAACACGCCCAGGTAATGTTTTGTATTTTTAGTAGAGACTGTGTTGGCCAGGCTGGTCTCGAACTCCTGGCCTCAAGTGATCCGCTGTCCTTGGCCTCCCACAGTGCTAGGATTACAGGCATGAGCCACGGCGCCCTGCCTGCAAGTATTCTTTTAAAGGATGAATATGCCTCCTGATTTTGCAACCATTTAACTAGCTTTTGGTTTCTGATACCAAATTAAAAAATCTCTATCTTCTACATGTCAAGAATACAGTCATGCCTCTATTAAATTAGGGGTTGTGTTCTGATGACCAGATGACCAGAGGTGGAAATAATATGGAAGGCCTATATACAGGCCGTTTAAACATACTTTTTAGGCCTCTTTTCCATCTCTTATTCAATTATTTGAGCTATTTCTTCTGGTAGTTATATATTTCCAAATAATGTATGACTATTTCCTATTAAGGAAGCTATCCTTCTCATAATCTGATTAAATCATTACTGTTTATGCTAATGAGACCATGTATTTATTATTCGTTGTTGAGGCAAATCATATACAATTTCCCGTCTTGTATGGCTTTTGGTTTTCCTTGGAGTTTTAATAATTGGCCTCTTTCTTTGCTTATTTTATTATGGATCTATCACAATGTCCTCTCAGTTTCTCTAAAACGATAAAATCCTTTCAATACAACTCCATATAATCAAACCCATAAGATAATCCATCGTGTGTGTGTGTGTGTGTGTGTGTGTATCTGTACTTTTTTCTTAGAGTCATTGGTCCACAGTTCCAATGAGTGTTTGGGAAGCTTGCTTCTTTCTCTTGGGTCTTCCTTTCTCCAGCATCCTAGCATTTTCTTCTGTGATTTCGAGCGTTTCCTCATATTTTGGTAGAGCAGATTCCTCTTAAATAGCTTCCTAAGAAAAGGTCCATGAGAAGTAAATCTTTTTGTACTTTTCATGTCTAAAAATATCATCACTCTATTTTACCTTTGAATGATGATGTTGCCTAATCATACAATCTACATTATAAATTATGTTTATTCAGGATTTCAAAGATACGGCTTTATTAACACCTAGATTCCGGTATTGCTGTCAAGAAGTACAATGCTGTTCTTATACTGATTTTTATATTTGTTGATGTGTGCTTAATAATTCCCACTCCTCAGGAGGTAACTGTTGAATAGGTTCACGTGGTTTTTCTCTTAGCAGCTCCTTATGACCTCCCCAGGCTCACGGATTAGCCTTCTTCAGTTTTGTTATTCCTTGTGGTTTAAGAAAATTTCTGGACTTTGGAACTTTTTCTTTACTTATTTATTTATTTTTAATTTATTTTTATTTTTGAGACGGAGTCTTGCTCTGTTGCCCAGGCTGGAGTGCAGTGGCGTGATCTCGGCTCACTGCAACCTCCACCTCCTGGGTTCAAGCAGTTCTCCTGTCTCAGCCTCCCGAGTACCTGGGACTACAAGTGCCCGCCACCACACCCAGCTAATGTTTGTATTTTTAGTAGAGACGGAGTTTCACCATATTGGTCAGGCTGGTCTTGAACTCCTGACCTCAAGTGATCCACCAGCCTTGGTGTCCCAAAGAGCTGGGATTACATGTATGAGCCGCTGCACCTGGCCTGGACTTTGGAACTTGATCCTTCCAGTTTTGAATAGTCACAGCTGACCTGCATGTTGTTGATGTTGTCACACTTTACCTTGTTCTCCACCTGATTATTTTTATGCATGTATTTCTTCATTATGGTATAGGCCAGAAGTTTATCGTCCTCCTGCGTAGGAATTTGGGGGTCGTAGGAAGATCTTGACTTAACACCTCAGGATTCTTTACACATTTACAGTGGGAAAATCTGGTGATGTAAGCGACAGAATAAGGATGTGCTTTGGCTCAAGCCAGGTTGAGGGGTACCTTTGTGACTTTTACTTTAAAGGGACTCAGGGAGCAGGAACGTCTGGGGATGCGCAGAAGCACATGGCGTTAAGCTGGGCCAGGGCCTTGAGGTGAGAGACGGGTCATGAAGCACCTAGTGGGTCATCTCTACCTTCATAAACTCCCAACTCTCTGACAATACATACAAGGTCCTTCTTGATGCACCCTAGGGCCTACCTCTGCAGCTGGAACACAGCCTCAGTGGACTACCTACAGTTGCCCAGAGAACTGTTGCTCTCCCCATCTCCAGACCATTCCCAGCCATAGCCTGCTCCCTTTGCATCTTATGCCCCCTCCTTCCCTTCACCCCATTCACTAGGCTAGTTCCTGCTCCTCCTTCTAGGAGGCAGCTTGGGAGTTGCTCTCTTGGGAACTCTCATTTCCCCCCATTTCCCCCTAGGCTAAGTATCTTCCTTCTATCTTCCCACAGTAGCCTGTCCTTATCTCTTTCCCAGCAGTTATCACACTAATTGTCCAGGTTTATAGTATTTTATTTTATTATTTTTTAGAGACAGGTTCTTGCTCTGTTGCCCAGGCTGGAGTGCAGTGCTATGATCTTGGCTCACTGAAATCTTGAACCCCTGGGCTCAAGTGATCCTCCTCTCCCAGCTTCCTGAATAGCTAGAACTACAGGTGCATGCCACCTTGCTTAGCTAATTTAAAAAAGTTTTTTTAAAAGATCGGGGTCTTGCTATGTTGCCCAGGCTGGTCTCATACTCCTGGCTTGGAGTGAACCTCCTGCCTCAGCCTTCCAAAGTGTTGGGATTATAGGTGTGAACCACCTTGCCCAGCCTGTCCAGCTTTATTTATGTGCCTTTCCCAACTGAGTACCCTCTGAGCTCAGGGATCATCTTAACTAATTTTGTATCCCAGTGCACCTAGTAGGTGTTCAATATGTATCTGTTAACTGATGGAATGATCTCTACTTCTTGTTTTTTGAATTTTTTTTGAGACGGAGTTTTACTCTTGTCACCCAGGCCGGAGTGCAGTGGCACAATCTCAGCTTACTGCAACTTCCACCTCCCAGGTTCAAGCAATTCTCCTGCCTCAGCCTCCCGAGTAGCTGGGATTATAGGTGTACACACCACCATGCCTGGCTAATTTTTTGTATTTTTAGTAGAGACGGGGTTTCACCATGCTGGTCAGGCTGGTCTTGAACTCCTGACCTCGTGATCTGCCCACCTCGGCCTCCCAAAGTGCTGGGATTACAGGCGTGAGCCACCGTGCCTGGCCCTGATCTCTACTTCTTAAAGGGAACTAAGAGAGAGAGAAAGTGCCAGTAGACCCTTTGGGGCTCACCTACACGATGAGGTCCTCAGACAGTGCAGAGTCATCAAACACAACTCTGAGAGAGGGAGGAAGAGGACCTACAGGCAGGCAGTCTTGGAGACCGGAAGCCCTGGCACACAGGCAGAGGCCTATTCAGCAGGTGGGGGCTCCTCAGGCAGCCAGAATATGGGTGGTCTTGGCATTGGTGGAGGACCCTGGGGTTATGCCTATCCCAGAATTCAGTGTGGTTGGGTAGCAACCTTTTCCTCAGTGGGGGCTGGAACAGAAGCAGAGCTGTCAAGTCCAGAGGGAATCTGCTGAAATCGAGTGAGATAAAGCCATAATGTGATTTATTTTGTGCAGTGTTTACAACCCAAGTCTGCCTAGAGGTAGACAGTTGGAGTCAGGGGAACCAGAAAGTCTTCAGACTTATTTCCTCTCCTTTCAGGAATAGAGTATATCATTCCATATTGTGTCTTCTTGCAAACCCCTCAGAGTAGTCCTTGTTTTGCTCTCCATAGCATCCATGACAGCCCTTAAGATTTGAAAATGGCCAAGCATCCATAGTTCCACCAGCCACTCATTTTTCCCCCTGCAGCCTCTTCCCCTTGCAGTGGTCTGAACCACTTCCTAGACATCCCCAGTACTTTCAGACCTCCCTGCCTCCCCTCTTGGCCTCCAGCACTTGGGGTCTCCCCTGTCCCCAATTATAGTAGAAACATTGATCATCCTTTAAGGCCCATCTCAGGTGCCATCTCTTTCGTGGGGTCTTCTTGATTCACTCCTCTCTCCCCCACCTGCTGCGAAGCAGTGCACACCTTCCAGTCCTTTAGAAAGTGACACCTGCACTGTTTTCACTCAGGGTCCTTTGACGAGCTACAAGGTCAGCACTTGGAGCTCCTCTCTCATAACAAATCCCAGTTGAAAAGCATTGGTGAATGGAGATTTTACTGAAGGCTTCATGAAGAGAGAATTACATGGCATCTCATGCTACAAAACTCCGTAGCAATCTCCACCTCTGCTCCCTCACCTCAGCACTCCTCTTTTCCCACTGATACCCTCTGTCTGGGCCTCTCTCCAACCTCACGCTT